AAAGATAATATGGTAAGAGAAGGTTGTTTGTAGTTACAGGAGATGTAGCTTGTTAGAAATGATCCAAGCTTAACACTCAAGCGACAAGAAAATGTATCAATAAATAGAGCTCTCAATTGCACAAGAGAAATGGCATGCATCCATTTTGGTATGAGCAAATATTGTGTTTTTGATTAAATTTAATAATATACACATGTTTCATTTAAAATTTTACATAAAGCTACTCTTTATTATTAGTTGTGTACTTTTATGTTATGTTCTTTTAATAGATGTAAAGTACGGTAACTATTGTTACTGTACTTTAGATTCATTAAAAATAGTTTGAGCAAAACTGAGTTACTTATTGTTTTTTATGGTTGTCTTAAGACGCTCTTGCAGAAAAATTGATTGAAGCTGGCATTATGACTGAAGCAGAACAAAAGTAGAAAGGAGTTTAGTCTAGAAAAATTAGGGAGAATATTTAATCACGACGAAACACCACAGTTCATCAATTTTGGTGTTGATAAAACTCCTGCTGGTCTTGTTTTTGCTGCAAAAGGGGAAAAATGCTGTAAAATGATAAGAGAGAACTGTTAATGCGTCACCATACATCCTTTAGTATCATTTTCAGGTAGCTATTGCCATATCACTTTTTTTCATAAATATTTATAGCAGAGATTGAAAGGATGACATTGTATTATATTTCTTTGTGATTGTAGGAGACCTTTGTGTCTGTCAAGTACTCTTTGGTAATGTTGGAGCAACTAATAAAATGGTTCCACAGGAAGCTGTGACAAATATTCAGCATCTTCTGATATCAACGTATAGATATCTAAAACTGAATTTTGGTCCGATACACCATAATTCATTTTTAGATATCTATAAAGAGTTTGATAAATATCTTATTGAAAAAAAGTGGCACAGCTAGTAGTTTTGCTTTCTGATGGGCATTGTTCACGCTTTAATTTTGATATCTTACAGTTTTTACAATCAAAAACATACGAATGTTCCTAACTCCACCAGATACCACCGGTGTGTCACAGCTTTTAGACCAACTCAACAAAAGCCTTCGTCATGAGTATCGTGGTATGAAAAAAAAATTCTTTATTGATTTCAACTCACTAAATAAAGAAGCTTTTATGATGATCTTAGGACTTATTTGGAACAAATTGGCCCCAAAACAATCTATAGTCAAAGCTGCAAGACATGTAGAAGTAACTTCTACATCATTAAACGTCAATGACATGCAACAGGACAAGTTTGCACGAGCTGCTTTATGTATTGATACTTCTAAAAGTGTTTCACCCAGTACAATAACCCCTGAAAGATACGCTATTGAATCTCCTGATAGAAGAAAAAATTCAGCTCAGTTTTGGAAAGAAAAATTCACAAGAGCTTATACAAGAGCTGAGCAAAAAGATCATTCAACTTGAAGAAATTCCTGGCTTACTGACAGTGCAGAAAGTTAAGCCAAAAATTTCTAAAGTTACTATAAGGGTTACGCAGGTTCACAAATCAATGAAAGGAAAAATTGTGCTGGAGTTAGTGAAGGTAATTCACGTTAATAAAAATCAAGAACTAAAAGATAAAGAAAAAAGAAAATGGAACAAAGAGAAACAAAGAGAAACATTTTTACGGTGTAAAAATGAATACAACTGTGGAGAAAGTAAGTGTCATGCCATAAAACTACAGCAGTGCTGTTCTTGCCACAATGTACAAAGATCAGTTTGCGGAAAGTTATCATGTAAAGTGGATGGAAAGAAACCAACAGTGTTTTTAGGTGCTGCAGTAACCAACAATTCCCTTAAACGTAAGGTTATTAAATATAAAAGTGATGAAGATATTAGCAATTGGAAGAATACACCAAGAAAGTGACATTATAGTTCTTATGACCATATTACAGATAATGTTTTTTAATTACCCATTATACTTAGTCAATTAGTTGATCAATTTAATTAATGATGTATAAAAATATTTTTTATACATCCTTGAATCCATTCAAGAATAGTTTCAAGGATGTATAAAAATATTTTTAAACTGTCTTAAAGACAAATAGAGCTATATGTAAATTTTTTTTACCAACAACTATCTTTACTTGCTTGTTAATAGAAAAATAAATTTTAATTGAAAAAGAAAAACTCTCTTTTAATAATGAGTTTTTAACTGTATATTTTTTTTGTTAATGGACCCCAGAAACCACACAGAAATAATATATTTGTTATCTTAAAATATTTTAACAACTAATTAAAAAAAAAAAAAAAAAAAAAATTAATTTTTTTACAGAAGTATGATTTACATCTTTACAAAAAACCTTACTTTGCAAACTTAAATAAAAATTTCAAGTGTTTAATGACTATAATTTCAAAAAGTTATAAAATTTTTAAATAAAATATTTTAGTGTTTTTCGTATAATTTTTACAAGATTATGCTAATTTGGTTCGTTTTAACAGTTTCCTAACAAAAAATCATCTTGTCAAATAAAAAAATTTATTTTGCTCCTTGATAACACTTAAACTATGAGTTACAGGTACTAATGTGAGCGTGTGGCTTTTAGGGTCCATGAGTTTTTGGGGCGCGTCTACCTGTACAATAAAATATTGCAGTAAAAATCGGTCTTAAATGAATAAGGATGGCAGCTTCAGTCATTTTGGATGTAGTTTAATAAATAACTTTGCGATTTCTGTTTTGTGTAATGCTTCAACCTTATCACGATGCATATGCATTAGTTTAAGTGCTCCCAACCTCGTCCCAACCGCTCGTCCTTCGTAAATACTCTGATATATTTTGACAATCTTCAAAGTGCAGGTTTACATCTCTCGCATTCACAAGGCGTTACTGAAAGTGCACAGCTAATGCATAAGAGTGTATGTACATTTGGAAGAGCTTGCTTATCGCATTTCAACAATGAAGCTTGTAAATTTTCTGGTTTTGAGTCTTCCATTTTATCATAAAGGTTCCTCCTGCGAACAATTTCTTCCTCAAGCAATCCTGGCAGAGGTAGATCGTTACTATAGATTTTGACAATATCTTTAAGACTTTTGATAACATCACATATTAAAGCTTGAAATACATTTTCACACACGACGCACCATAGTTTTATAGCTTGACAAGATTTTTTACTAAACATCAATTGGAGGTCCGATATAATGTAATCCAAATAAGGAATCGAATGTTACGAATGTTACAAACCTCATTTGGAGTATTTGGAGTGTTCTGACGATAAGTTTGCCGTTGAACTGCCCTAGATGTTACCACATCCATGTCTAAATGATCTGCTGTTCTTACAACATGTGTGAAAATGGAATTAGATAGTTGTTTAAGCTAAGCATCACGTCTGTGTTTTAATTCTAATACAACTTCCTGTACTCCTTTGTATGCGCCAAACACATCTTGTGTTTGACCTTGTAAAGAAATAGCTATAGCCCTCAGATATGATGTTAATAATATAATTGTTAGCAATGTATAGATGACTTTAAAGTTTTGCAGAGATTTTCTGTAAGACTGAGCATTTTGTTGATCTTCCGTTGTCCAGCTTGACCAATCTTCATCTTTACTGGTGTATACAGTTAAATGAAATTTATCGGCAATAACTTCACATTAACAATGCAGAATAACGCATCATAAAAATAATGATGGCCATATTCTCTATCCATCTTTAATACAAATATATTCAGGAGACTTTGAGACGTGAGCAGCTCTAGATTCTTTTTAATGTTATTCCAGATTCTTTTTAATTGTTAATCCATTAGTTATAGCTTTTAATTTGTCTAAAATGTTATGCATTTCCGGAATGGCACAGCTATGGGATATAACAAGATTTTGGCAGTGACTTTTACAATGTCCATTAATCCTAAGCTATTTTCTGTCAAAATAGCTTTTGCTAAACCATGTTGCATGTTGTTGGCTCCATCATAACCTTGGCCACGAAGATTTTCAAGTTCTAATCTATAATCTGAGACCCATTTCTTTGTCACATGATATAAATTACGACCTATAATTTTTTTAGCTGTAATATTATCAAGAACTTCTCGAACATTATTTTTAAAGTCAACAAATCGAATTGAAATCACTTTTTCTTTGTTGTGTAATGATACTTCATCTATCAGAAGAGTATAAAGTTTGGCCTTTTTTATTTCTAATAAAAGATCAGCTTGAATCATATGATAACCAACAATGTAAATAAGTTCGTTTTAGACTGTTCCAGAAAAATATACAGCATTCTTTAATCTTGGTGAATTGAGATGCTTTAGTAATTTTGAATTATGTTTTGCAAGAAGCTGAAGCAATTCAATAAAGTTTCCTTGGTTGACACTTGTATTAGATACCTTTTTATTAGATACACGGAATGCCAGACCTTATTCTCCCTCAAAATAATGCCAGACCTTGTTTCTCCCCAAAATAATGCCAGACCTTGTTTCCCCCCAAAATAATGCCAGACCTTGTTTCCTCCCTAAATAATGTCAGACCTTGTTTCCCCCAAAAAAGAACTGCTTCAATAATGCAACTTTCAAGAATGTATTTGTTAAAGCAAATTCTTTCTTGCAATGTTGTATCAGGCTTTATGTGTGTTTGTGTATTAGGATAATTGCACATTCTCTTTGCATCATCCAAATACTCTAACGCATACAAATTTGTGTGAAATATGTTTGACAAGATGTTTTGGTAAATTTTTCCAGCTGGAGTCAAAACAAATCGTCCTTTATCTTCCATACTACTAGCTGGCAAAAAAAAAAAAAATACAAGTTCCACAGTATAAACTATTTTTTTCTTTGCTGTACCTCAAGTGTGGATATTTATTAGGTAGTTTAATAAGGAAACGTCACTTTATTCCATTGGCTGATAAAAAAAGTGGTGTTGGCGCAGTTCGGTGATGTTTATTATACAAATTGATTCTAATAACATAACAAAGATGAGCACAATGTATCACCTTGTTGTGCTGCATTATTATCATTGCAAGATTGTTGAATTTTATCACCATCAATATCAGATTGTTGAGCTGTATCCCCATCAATGTCAGATTGTTAAGTTGTATCATCATCAACGTCAGATTGTTGAGCTGTATCACCGTCAATGTCAGATTGTCGAGCTGTATCATCATCAATGTCAGATTGTTGAGCTGTATCACCGTCAATGTCAGATTGTCGAGCTGTATCATCATCAATGTCAGATTGTTGAGCTGTATCATCATCAACGTCAGATTGTTGAGCTGTATCACCTCCAATATCAGATTGTTGAGCTGTATCACCATCACTGCCAGATTTTTGTGCTACATTATCATCACTGTCAGCTGATTGCGTTTTGTCAGAAATGTTTGGAGTAGATTCAGTTTTCCAAAGAAATTTATAACTTTTGTAAATGATTTAAATGCTTCCTATATAAGCTTTTGCTCCTTGACATGCTTGAATTCTGAACCTGATTCTTTTCTTTTAGTTAATTGTGACATTTTTAAATAATTAACACATAAAATAATATAATTACTATTTTTTGTATTGTATTAAATATTGTTTTTAGATATTTTGTTTAAATTAGCCTTTTGCTAAGTGATGTTTTGCTGAGTTTACAGTACTAAACAAAAAAAACTTTTATATTGAAAAAAAACAATTATAAATAACTTATGCAATTTCTTTTATTAACCAACCCGTTTTTTACTGCTGGCATGTTATCATTATAGTTATATAATATTAAAATATTTGGTGAAAAAATAAGAAATCCTTAAAACTGCAGTGTTACAACTAGCCCCGCACTTCACTTATAATAATACAATTAATAAAATATATTTTATTTTACAAAGAGTTATAATTAATTGTGTTTAAAATTTATATAAAAAGGTTATAATAAATTTTAAAACAATACACACAAATAAATAAGAAATCAATTCACTTATCAGCTAATCAATTAACGACTTAATTTGTCAACCCAATAAACTTTATTTCAAATAAAAAACTATATTTTTGAAATGAAACAACAAATAAATTAGGAAACTAAATCAATGTAAAAACAACGTTTTAGCTCACATCAAGTTTATTTATTTTGCTATAATTGTTTATTTTCTAAGTGCCCTAGTGCAGGAAAAAACAATCAATAGCACCCAAGCTCAGTTTTTTTAACGCTAAGTAGACGATTAAATAAACTTATTTTTTAAGAAAGCGGTGACCCATTTGTCCCGTCCGTGTTGTATTTACTAAAAATTTACTAAAGTAACTATTAAAATAATATTCCAATTTTTTAATTTTCATTAAACAATACTGATTTTTATTATTTAAGTAAATATTCTATTGCAACACTTGAAATAGGACGAGACGCGCAAAAAGGGCAAGATGGACAGGGGGGCACGTGCTTCCTTGTGCTCCCCTTATCTCTACAGCCCTAATATATATATATATATATTATATATATATATATATATATATATATATATATATATATATATATATATATATATATATATATATATATATATACTTATATATACATATATACATATATATATATATATATATATATATATATATATATATATATATATATATATATATATATATATATATATATATTGTTATAATAATTATTTTTTTGTCCTTTTATGTTATGCAAAAAGTATACTGTTATTGTATTAAATCTATACTTTTCTTTTTTTTTTCTAATTTTTTGTTATTCAAAAAATATATTTTTATTGTATTAAATGCTAGATTTCCTATTTTAAGCTAGTGATCCTTAAAAACTACATTCACAGCAACCCAAAAAAAAAAAAAAAAGCAAAATAAACATTTTAAAAAATGTGTAAATTAATTTATATTACATTGGTGGATAAGAACAAGGCTAACATTATCTAGAAATAAGATAACTGCATACCTAAAATTAATTTTTTAAACAGTAGGGGGCCATAATGCATAAATTCAACTTTTTTTAAAACAAAAAATTTGATTTGCATTTACTTTTTGGGAATTTTAAAATTGTAAAAGAGGTGTATTTTTAATAATATGTTTAATAATATAATTTAATAACAATATTTTTAATCAGAGTCTGACAAGGTAAAATATATTTTTTATATTAAACTTTGAGTAAGCTCACTAGAAATCTCCCACCCCTCATCTATCGATATTAAAAAAAGCAACACTCTACAGGATTACTTTGAAATCGTGAAGTAGTGCTTACTTCACGACTTCAAAAGATAGGAAGGATATTTGTACACTCGAAGAAAAAAACCGATATATGCAACGAACTGCATCTGTCGCTATTGCACCAACGGGTTTTTCTATATAAGGGTGCCTCAGAATGAGAGAATTTTTAAAACAAAAATATGTATTTCGCTAAATTTAGTGCAAGTATAAAGATAATAGGTTTTGAAACATACCGGTCACTTTCTGACCACTCTAGACCCTCATTTTTGTAAAAAAAATGTCGATTTTTTTGTCAAAAATTTCTGATTTTTGTAACGTTGAGGGAGGTCCATAAAAACCAATAAACCAATTTAGCTGAATTAAAAAAAAGGGCCTACACTACATATATTTTGCGTTTAAAATCATGCGTATATTTGTTTCTTTTTTATTACCGAGCATTTAATATTAAAATTATTTCGCAATATTTATGACTTTTGTTGTGATATTAAGAAAGCATTTGGAGTATACAAATACATTTTTTCTAATAAAATAAAAATGTTTTTTAGTTAAAAATATTGTACATTGCTTGCTACTTAATTAGTTACGTATTTGAAGGTAAGTTTCCTTGACATTCTTCCATCCCCTTCCGCCTGCCATTTCGCAAAATAAAATAAATAGCAAACCATTACACTTCATACTCTATTACTATAGTTTCATAAAAATTTATTTTTAGATCAAAAACAATTAATATGAAGCCTCTAAATTGATTTAAAAATTGAAATTTCCATTTTTGATTTTGAATTTTAAAATTCAAAATAAAAATTTGAGTAACTGAACAAGAATTGATATGAGTTATCAGAAACATAAAATTTTGGGCAATAACAGTTTGAGATCTTCTAAAAAGATTTTTCATATTATTGATAAAGCTACGCCTGCTATTTCAGGTATATGTTACATAGAAATAAAAATAATGTACAGTTATCGATTTGGTTTTATGATATTTTGCATTTACCTAAAGGTTGATAGGTGTCAACTAGTTGAATGTGAATGTATCATGGCAAAAAGAAAACATTTATGGTTTAAAGCAGGGTTTCCAATTATTCGCGACGTAAATATTCGAAAAAGTGTAAAAAGTCTTGAGCAAAAATATTCTATTTTATTAAAGAATGTCAAAAGAAACTCAAAACAAGATATTAAAAATCAAATAGGTTTTGAAGATTTTTTTAAGCGTATTTTTTGGATAGGAATTCCAGAACTAAAAGATTTTATTCAAAGTGACAAGCTAAGATCCAATTAATCTAAAATCGAAGATTTACATTTCTTAGAAGATCAAGAAGGTCCAAGATTATATCATTTGGGTCCTTTAGACACTAAATATACTAATAAAGTAATTTGATTATATTTTGGTTGTGAGAATTTGCATAGTGTAAGTTTTATTTTTTTAAATATTTAGGCAGTTTTGCGTCAGATCTTAATTAAATGATGCTCTCAAGGTAGATGAACTATTGAGTTACTTTACTATATGGAATGAAGCATTAGTATATAAAATATTGATTTAACTAACTTTATTTTGTTTTTGGACTTATACTATATTGATTCTCACCCACATATTTATTTTATAAATAGGATTTAAAAACTAAATATACTTTTTATAGTTTGATAAATTTATTAAATATGCTCTAACTTTGTGTTTTTGTCACTCTAACAACTTATAACTAATCAGTTTATTTTTATATAAGGTGAAACCATTAAATATAAAGAATTGCAAAAATGCAATGAAAAATCACCAAGTAAAATCTTTTTCGTAAAATTATAATTTTACGGAGTATCAGAATTAATAACATTATGTCTTAGTTTTCTAATAACAAAAAAATCTAAGTTTAATACTGAAGAATCAAATTCAAATGTGGAAATTAATCTCTCTGAAAAAGACATAAAATGCTTAGAATATATTGCAGGTTATGTATTTTAAAATCTGTACTCTAAGTTAAGAAGTAAAAAGGTTAACGATGGTGTAATATCTAAACAATGGCTTAATATTTTATTTTCTCAAAAACTCAATAGGAATATAAACTTGTAGATATTAGAGATAGGGGTGGATTGTGGAAGATGAATAAACTAGTAATAAATATATTAAGTGGATGTGAAAAAGTTTCGAGTACATGTTAGCAACAATTTTCGAAAAATTGACAGTAAATTTTTGGTTTCACAATTACTAAATGACTGTTTTATCAAGTCCTGTTTTAATCAGATTTGTGATCTTTCTCAAGCAGAAATAGACAAAGAAATTGCTAAAACTTTATTGCATCACATAATGATGCTTTTTATTCGCATACGTTCACATTCACATACAAAGCAAATAAAATAAAATTTCAAAAACAAAACAAAAATGACAAAAGCAAAATCTTTACAATCAATCTTACAAAAAAAGTCAAATAAGTTTTAATAAAGTATTTCTGTTGACTAAGATATTTCAGTTGAACAATCATATTTCCTCTAATCAGTGCAATATTATCAATCTATGCAGATGTAAAGAAAAACCCGAGTTACCAGAGATGGTAATTCTTTGCCAGCATTAGTATTATAGTGGCAAATGTGTAATACTTATCAAACAGCTATTTTCATAGCTACAAATTTAAATAATTACGTTATTGGTTAAGAACAAACATATAATTTATTTTAAACAGTTGTTGTTTTTTCTACTTACATAATAATGAAGGATATTTTTCAAAATTTTAAAGTCTAGACTTTTAGTAATTATTGTTGTAATAAAATTTATGTTTTGGCAAAATAAAAAAAGAAAAGGTCTTATTTTGAAACAAATTAATATCAAAATTAGGAAGATTCTTATTTTGAATTTTACTAAAGTGATTATAGAGGAGACAATATCCACTAGTAATCTATAAAAAAAAAAGTTCCACTTATAAAAAAAGGTTTTACAAAAGAAAAGATTTTTCCTTTTTCTAAGTTTCTTGGGAACTGGTGTATCATCAATAATCCATTCTTTTGTATGCTGTCTAACATTTCCGCAAAGGGGTTGGATCACAAGTTGAGATTTTATAATATTACCATTGTAGCCAGCGTCTTTAAGGTTAGGAATATCTCTATTACAACCTATAGTTCGCTCCTTACCAAAGTTGTTTTCTAGAGCATCTTGGCAAAATACTTCAGTTAATACATAAGAAAACCCTTTGCCTAATAAGTATTGAACACACTTAACTAAAGAGTTTACAGTTCTAGATAAGCCTTCAAATGTTTGATTTGATATGAACATTTAATTGAGCTCTTTTTGAGAAAACTTTTTTGGCCTTTTTTTTAATGCTCTCCCTCTAGTCAACAAAATATTTAAAAAAATGTTTTTTAGCCAGTGAAATCTTTCATCTGAAATATCAGTATAAGATTGAATTTGTAGAATATTATATGCTGGAGATCTAAAATACACTGTTTCATTTCTAGGACTAAAATCATCATCGCATCTTTCATCGATGTAGTCAATCAAAAATTGTTTGCTAACATATGTTTTTTACAAGCGAAAACTTTTCTATTTCATTTGATGATATTCCATTGCACAGATAGAAACCTTGGATATGATTGAGAAAACGTGATACCATGGTGTATCTTACAGATCGTAAATTACTCTTATAAATTTGATGAGTGTCTGGTAAAAGCCAACCATAAGCTCGAATAGTATAAGCTAGATTCTCATCTACATGTAGTTTAAATCGTAGTATGAAATGTTTTTCATCACTGAATTTAAATGCCACATAGTTTTTAGAAATTTCTACAATCCACTAAAAAAATAAAACTCCTTTAATTTTTTTAAGAAATTCTTCAAAATTTCAATTAACTAGTTTTTTATCTAATTTTTTTTCTTGTAATCCTGAAGCTATAGCACGTTTGTGAAGTGCTTTACTTTGACGATGCACAGTGATATTTTAAGAAAAACTTTTTTTTGGTAAGTTTTTTGTTGAAAGTGCGTATTCTTTCAACTTTTTTTTGTGTTAGTCTTGAAAAAAAAATTTTAAAAATTTTTAAAACAATACTTGTTTTATTATCTGTTATTTAAAATATTATAAAATTAGTATATGTATATTTATGTTTTATTATCTGTTATTTAAAATATTATAAAATTAGTAATGTAAATATTATAAAATTAGTATATGTATATTTATTAAGTCTGGGTAATAAAATTATTACCCAGACTTAATAAATATCAAAACTATTTAGCACACTTACAGGTGTATATGTCTGAACTTTCAAAACGCTTTTCTCATATATAAACATTCTTGTCAATAAGAATAGTATTAATAATATTGATTTGTTTTTAAAATCTTGAGACTATCTTTTGTAATAATTCTTATTATATCTTTATTCCAGTTTGAGAGAACTACGCTTTTATTTGGGTTTGGAAGTTTAAAAATACTAACAGCATCTTCTCCTTGTTTTGTATATCTGCTACTACCACAACCATATATTCAGCAGTTTACTCCAGGCATAATAAATCTAGATTCACAACAATGGATTTCAATTCCGCTTCAGTTTATTAAACACGTTTAAGAAACTGATCTGTAACAGAAAAATATTTTTGTTTACTTTTAAATTTACCCTTATTATTCAACGGTAAAAATTTTGACAACTTGAAAAAAAGAAAACAACTTTTTAGTCGTACCAAATACGAAATAATTAGACACAAAACTGAAGCTATCTGAACAAATAAATTATTATATTTTTATTGTATTGCACTCTAAAGGATCTGGGATCTATTTTTTTCGGATACAAAGAGATACTTTAAAAAGTTATTGTACGCTTCTAATCTAATCTTATGACTATCTAATCTTGTGACTATGCTTAAACTTATTTTCATATAAATGGTCAATTTATAAATCGATTCGAGAGTTCAATTTTAAAAATGGATAAAATATGAAACACCCTATATATATATATATATATATATATATATATATATATATATATATATATATTATATATATATATATATAATTTTTATTTATTTATATATATATAAAAATAATATAATTCATAAATAAACATTATTTATAAAAAAAAATATTACCTTAAAACATTAAAGTTTTCTCATCCTAAATTTTTATAGTATATTTAGATATTTAGATTTATAGTATATATAGTATATTTAGATTTAGTAATTTAAGTATTTATTTTCAGGATTAAGTGGTTTACGAAGTTTTTTTTTTGTTTGAGGTTTTTGAGGTACCCTTATACTTAGATAGCAAATTTTGAGAATCTTTATGATAAATTATAACAAACTGCATTATCGAAGTTACGAACTATTGTCAGCTTCTTATGTGTATTAGAAATAAGAAAAAAATAAAACATTTTAACTAATCCACTAATATTATTTTTATTTCATTGCTTTCCGATTCCTTTTGAGTATTTGGCTCTAAACATTTGAATCGAGTCGAGACCATTATTTATCATCTTTTGATGCTGTTATTTTTAACTAATAAAAATTCTGAAATTGAAAAAAATATATATATAATCATTGTTTCAATATATAATTATAGTTTTAATATAATTATGATTTATATAATGATTTATAACTCTGAGAGCAAAAAAACATAGTCGAATTGATGAAAAGCACGATGGCAACCAATATGACTGAATTTTCAGTGAAATAGACACTAAACCGAACTTTGGGTCGGCGAACAAATAACAATATTTTTTTCAAATTTGTTTAGTTTTGACAAACCAAAATGAAAAATACAGCATTTGTTTTCGTAGGTGTTGCTTTGAAAACTATAAAAAAAGTAAAGACTACAAAATTTAATCACGTTCATATTTTTTAATCACGTTTATCTCCTAAATTCTTCAATCTGCAGGCAGAGGTTCTGAACTAATTTGCGATTCCTTGACATTTTTATAAAATGAATTTAGCCCGTGCCTATTACGAACAATTTCCACCGCTAAAAACTGGATTCTTGTGGCTAAAGCAACAAAAAAAAGTAAGCATTTAACCCATAGCATAAATAGGCTTTCTGAGTAATACACTTACTGTATTACTTGCACACTTAGAGTGAAATGATTACACTTACTTAAAAAAGAATTATCTTCGCTATAATCCTCGTGGACATTCTTCCTAAAATAAACGGGTTGAACTTTTTATCTAATTAAAACTTCTAAATATCAATGAGTTTGTAACAAAATCAATACTAATTTAATTTATCAACCTTATCAGTGTTCCAAAGTTGTAACTTTCAATTTTCCCTTTGAAATCTTCGCAGAATGGACGCCATTTCTAATACATAAAAATGATATTCTTAAATGTCATTAATTTAAACATTTAAAACTAATCATTTTCCAGCAACAAAAAAAAGCAAACATGACGTCTTCTCGACGTTTTTTTTCGACAATTTTACGTTAAAAATACCATGTGTTGTGCAGGATTATTTCTAAAAAATAAACAAAGACAAAAACAGATGTTTATATAATGCTTACTTCCTTGGCTGTTTTGCTTTTAAACATATCTTCATCCAATTGTTCTACCTGTGAAAAAAGTTTGATATAGTTGAATGTTAAGCAAAAGTACTAAGCACTCATAAAAAACATTCGTATTTAAAAATTTATCTATATGATCTATTAAAAAATTTGAACATGTTGACCATAAATTTACAGCCCATGAAAATCAGATTGCAGACTAGGCTAAAAAAGTGAAAAAATCTTTTAAAAATGATTTTACATAAGAAATACATGAAAGAGTTCAAAACCAACCGCAACCATGTTAACACCACTTCAAAGCGATATCTTAAGATCATATTTACATAGTTGCGGCTTACTTTATAGCTACGAGCTGTTATTAACTAGTCATTGGCCAGAATATGGTAGCGATCACAGTAATCAACGGGTATTTATCTAATGTTAGCTAGTTGCTAACCAAATTCTCATCGGGTAAAAGTGTAATTCTATAAAAAAAATAGATATAAAAATATCTAATAGTCATGTTTTTCGCGATGGTAAAAAGACAAATTTTAAAAAGATGGAAAAAAGTTTAAACAATACTCAAAGCATAACTAAAAAAACATTCATTACAGAAATCTTATACTAAGATTTTTCAAATACTTCTACAGTTAATTTAGCTTCATATTCATTTGGTGATTTTTTTATTGATATATGTACAGAAATAGGATCCTATTTAATAGTAATTTATAAGAATTTTGTGAAACAAAAGAATTTATCGACTTTAACCAGGTGAAGAAAATCTGTCAAAAAGCAAGAATTTCCTTTGCTAATATTGATGAGTATTATCAGGTGTGTTTATTATAATACAGTAAAATGCTTAACAGTTTATTATTCAATCCAATTTCAAATTGATTTAATAATGTAGTAAATGTATTAAAGCTATTAAGATATAAACATTTTTACTATTAATATTTTATCTGATCTTTTTACTCTTAATTTTCCACTTAGAGACAAGATTGTTGACGAAAAAAGTAGAGAAAGCATTAACAAAAAGTGGTTTTATTAAGAAAAGAAACACACAAATATTAGCAAAAAGTGATTTTATTAAGTGCAGCTCATGTATGGTCATGTACGGAAGTTGCGAAAATGTAGTTTTTATGTAAAAAAATAAACTTTTTTAAGAATGCTGAAGGATGTATTTAATTTAACAATTTAAAAAAATTTATAAAAATCAATAAAGATGATAAAACGATTTAGAAATTTACAAGAAATTTACACCTAGACAAGGTTTCTTGTAAAAAAATTTCTTGTAAAAGCTCACAAAGATTATAAGATTATATATAAAAATTCAGCACTGATATCAAATGAATTGGTGAATGTTAAAAGGGCGGAAGTCCAACTATGCAAACTTTCAGGAAACTAAAAAAAACCCGCATTTTCCCCCGCAGTAAATTTTTGTTAATGGTTTAACAATTTTTTTTTTTGAAGATGTTTTTCACCTTAAAAAAAAAATTATTGAACTATTAACAAAAATTAACTACGGGGGAAAACACAGTTTCCCGAAAATTAACACTCACCGATTCAAATGGGTTTTGGAGATATATTGTTACTTTAAAATCAGCTATTTTGGGCAGTTTTTGATTGGCTGCCATTTTGATTTTACAATATTTTAGTTTTAAAAGTTACTGTTCAACTAAACATGTGATTAAGTTGAATACTAGCACTAGTATTATTTTAAAGATGAGGAATCAGAATACGATATTTGTTTTTTTATAAAAATCAATTAGAACTATATTGATATGAGGATTGTACTTCACCTGTAGCTATTTTGAAATTTCTAACAAAAGCAGAACAGAGGCCTGGAAACCATAGTAACATTAAATTTTTGTGAAAGTCATTAACAAATACCTATAATTTTTTTTTTCCTCGAAATTTGGAATCCATAAAGACTAAATTTTTATATCAAAAATTCTATTTTATGAATTAACAGGGATAACTTTGATTAAAGAGACTCAGAAAATTTTTGATTTAATATTACTGCTTAGAGTAAAATATAACATTAAAAAAATAAAAACACATACATTAATATCACTGAAGTCTTTTTTAAACATTCGGTATATCAAATCATCATACCTGTAAAACATTTTTTTAAAAAGTTAACAAATAATAATTTTAATTTATACTATTTATATTCATAAGTAAAATTTATAAAAAATATAAAAAATCAAGAGAAACATAAAAAATTATTTTCATTCCAAAACTAGATGGATATAGTATATACTATTGAGTTATATATATAACAAAACAAATGCTGTTATATCTTGTTTCAAACCCATAAAAAAGATTTTTTTTCAAGACATTGCTAACAGTAAGGTTTTGTAGTTGCTGAAAAAAGAAGTAGCATTATTTAATAATCATATTTATAATCAAGTCATTTTATTTCTCAATAAATTAAATCTCGCTATAACTTCTATAAAAAAAAACTTTCTTTCCATTTGTATCGCAAAGAATGTGAAAGCAAAAAAACTTTTTTTCATTACTGTTGTTGCTTGTTTTAAGATAAAACTTACTTCTTCTCCCTGAATATAATAACTTAAAAGTTTTATTAAGATCTAGTTATTTTTAAAATTTAATGTCTTCAATGTTTAAAAAAATCCATAGTTAATGTAACTTATTAGGCGAAATTTTTGTAAATTTAATTACTTAAGGGTAATCACTATTTTGTTAATTTTACAAATATTACACGATTTGTAAATATTGATTAAAAATTGTTTTAAGTATCCAACATTTAATTACTAATTATTTATGGCTATTAAAATTAAATTTACTAAAATATAGTAATTAAATGTTTAAAATACTTTAAACAATTTTTAATAATTATCTACAAATAGCATCTTAAATAAAACAGTTTTCCTTAGCGTAACTAAAGTAACATATGGTCTACCGGTAAATTCATGTATTCAAAGGAATGCCTTAAATTCAACTCCTAATCTTCGGATAAAAACAAGGTAAACAAAAATGATTAAAATGATGATTAGAAAAATGATGATTACAAATCATTGCCACGGCACTGGTTTTAACGCAGGAAGGAGAAGGAGCGATATAAACTAAAATCTCAAGAACATCAAGCCCCCCTCCCCCAACAAAGAAGTAGCATCACCAAATAAACTCTAGGTTCATCACTGTTGCTACAAAAATCAATTTGAGTTTATAAAAATAATAACAAAAAAAGAAAAGACATACTTAAAAGACATAGTTCTAAATAACTTATATGTATTAGGAAAGATTCTAAAACTCATTATTTTTATAAGAGAAATATGAATCTATCAAAAACTTTATTGAAAAATCATTTAAAAAAATGTTTCTTAATTCTAATGATCGTTTTATTAAAAAATTGCAAAAGAAAAACTCAGGACCCTTTCTTAAAGATGTTTTTTTAAAACTGTGCGAAAATAGAAATACCACAGAAATCCTCTAGAACTAGAATCTAAACTTGTACCAACTATAGAAAATCTACCCTTTTTTTGGACATCGTTTCATTAAGGCAATCATTAAAACAAGAGTATTGTAACAAAATAGAGGATGCACAAAACTTACACAGAAGTGTTGTTAAGACAACTAAAAATGTTAAGACAACTAGGAATGTTGCCAAGTCAACAAAAAATGTTGCTAAGACAACTGAAAATGTTGCTAAGACAACTAAAAATGTTGCTAAGACAACTAAAAATGTTGCTAAGACAACTAAAAATGTTGGTAAGACAACTAAAAACAACAAAAAAAGCAACTTAAATCAGGACAAAAGACAAGCATTTAAATAAAAGAGGGCAAAAACATCGACATTAACTCTTAAAAAGATTTTTTAAGAAAATTTTAAAAAGTTAAAAAAACAGGCTTTGTTAGAATGGAACACAACAAAGCAATAGACAATATTTGCCAAGAAATTGACAGATTCAACCAAGATAACTAATAAAAAGTTGTCCCTTAAATGACCCCTATAAGAATTAAACTCCTAAATTTAAAAGCAAAACTAGAACTTGTTAAAACTGAATAAAAAAACACAATTTACAAAGCGAAAATATAAAAATTTATACCCAAGCAACCCAATACTGCCCATATGTATGGTGTAACTAAAGCATAAAAACCGAAATCATACCTTATGCAGTTAGCATTTTAACATTTGGGACACCAAGAAATGGAACACATCTTTAATCTAGATGTTTTAACAACTTTTGTTAAAACATCTAGATTATGAAATATATTAAAAGATGAAATACAGCATTTCTGAAACAATGTGAATCTATACCCCTCAATCCCATTAATATAACTGTGTTTATATAAATGTTACTTTTTATGGAATAAAGAACTTCACAAGCTTGTGGTTTTAGGCCTGATAGGACTTTCACTCATGGTAATACTTGCATGACTTAATCACAGTTTCTTGCAGCTTTTCAAAAATTTTGCAATTGACATTCCACTCCACCATTAGAAATAAAATTGTTTTTAAGATACGAAGATGATAGCCACACATAATTTCCCAATAGAGTTAATGCAAACTATTTTTAACAAATACTAAACAGCCAATATCATACGATTAATACACAATTAAATTGGAAGACAAAAACAAAACATTATGTACTTTAGATATTCAAACAACCAACAATAAAACAGGTAATTATGATTTCAACATATACAAAAAAGAAGTATATACAAACATTCAGATAAAACACAATTCAAATCATAATCCAAAATTCTTAAAAGGCATGTTTAAAGGATTTCAAAAATGCATAAGATCCACAGAGCCTTATCTATTTGCTCTAAAAAACGTGTGCATATTGATATTCAATTTCCTTATAGATCTATTTGCTGATAACAAATACAAAAAAATACAAAAAAATAAAAATTCAAAATCTTGCAAACTATGTCAAATAAAAACGAGATTTAAAACACTTAGATAATAAAACAGCCTCATCTAAAAATGAAGCAAACATGTTAGCTATCATATACATATATATGGGCAATTCCATTTTTAACTTACGTTACACATGCAACAACTTTATCAAATACTTACCTATTTAAACTGTAAATTAAACTTTTAGCTATTTATTATAAAAGCTGTTAGTCTAAAGAATAAAATAGGCTAAAAAGTTTTGAGTCTGACCAAAAGAGGGCGAACTTATTACTGAAAACGCCATTTAACTTAAATTTCAAGGAAAAAAAAGTAATTAAACTGCTTCAACTTTTAGGTCAGATTTCTGCGAATCAGTAAAGTATTTGTATTAAAAACATTCACAAGATGTTGAGAATTCTATACCAATTTTAAAAATATAGAAAAATTTGTTAGAGGTGGCAAGCTAAGGAAAATAAAATAGCTTTTTTGATACTATATATTTAACTTACTTTACACCACTGTTACAGAGCGATTATTATCATGGATTTTTTATATCTATTATTAAAAGTTAGAGTTACGTAACAAAAGAATTGGAAAAGTATTGAATTCATTCATTAAAAATAATTAACAAAGGAAATTTAAAAAATTGGTGACACTCTTCCTGAGTGATTTTTCATAACTTTTATGAAAGTTATCAAATCGAAAACAGTATTTATGCATGACCAAGTGCAACTTTAAAAAAATTATTTTAGTATTACAACTTTATTAATACTTATTAAAATGAGAAAACCTTTGGATTGTCAAAGTATTTACTTACACTTTTTATGTTTATGCGTATTGGCTTATTTTAATTTTGTTGAATTTTAAAACTGCAAAGTATTTACATTTAAATCTTTAAAAATATTTTTAACATAAAAACTGCACAGTTTTGAAGGGAGAGGGGTTTCAGGTATATGTGATCGTTTGTGTCAGGAGGAAAGGGGTTAAGAATTGACAAATATAGGGTCACATGCTTTATGGATGACCTCCCTTAATTGCATTTTCAAATGATTTGTTTTACTAAAACAAGTATAAAAAAAGGTTCTAACTGATTTTTTTTTTTAATATTAGGAGAATAGCAAATAAATCTTTTTTTTTTTTAATGCCTAAATAAAATTTTTTATATAATTCTTATTTTTATTTATTTATGTATATTTATATGTCAACCAAAATAAGAATACATAAACAAATATAAAAAAAATAATATAAGTAATTTTAATTAACATTAAAAAATATATATATACTTTTCTCTAAATTCTCCTAATATAAAAATTTCAGTTATAACCTTGTCAAACCAACACGACGATATAAGAATTACTTAATGACATAATTCATTTTGTTAGAGATTGTCCATAAAGTATGTACACTCAGAGGGGAAGAGGGGGTCTGCGAATGACATATATGGGATGGAAAGGCGGTGGGTCAATTTTAAAAGAAAGGAGATACTAAATTAAAAAAATAAAATGTTAGATAAATAGGTGAAAAGCATAGGTACTTTTAGGGGGTGTAGGGTACTCAAAAAAGTGTTGAGCAAAATGCGGGGGAAAGGGGTGGACAAAAAAAAGGGTAAGTACTTTATGGATGACCCCTTAACAAAAAAATGCCAGAACTTAAGTAAATTCATGTAGTTTTAACATACGCTACACAAATTCAATATAAAAATGTGCTAGCTAAACATCCTTATTTAAAACATTAAATGTAAAAATGTAACATTTAATATTCTTTTGCATATATTATTAAAAAACTAAGGCTTTTTTAACTAAATTTTAGAAAAAACAAAACTTTATCATGTTTTTGTTAACTTACGTTACATGAAAATTGCAGAAGTTCTTTCGTTATTTTCTCAAAATATATTTTTTTATTTAATTACTGCGGTGAACAAATGCTCACTGAATGGTAATCCACTTTAGCAGCAAGTTTAAAAACTACAATTTAAAATTTTAATTCAGATAATAAAGTTCCCTAAGACTTTTTTTAAAGTTTAACACTGATTTAATAAGTTCGACATCAAACAGCAAATTGTTCCAAATTGGAATAACATGGTTGGAAAAAAAAATTTCTTCTACTCGAGTGTCTACAGGTCTAAAAAGTATATCTATGATTGTGGATATAGTCACAAACACTTCCAGCTGGTCCAGTTGGTCGACAAAAGTTCCTTAGGGAAGATACTGTATTTAGCTGATAAGAATTATTAAGACATTTAAAA